ATAATAATTATCTTTATTATACATAAATATTTTATGTCTTTAATTTATATATATTTCAAATTGCAGATTTATAGGTAAACCTGCTTTGTAGTGTGGGATAATAAAAATTATTGTGCAAACAGACTATGCAAAGTGATCTTAATACTAAGTCAGTGGAAAAAATATTTTGTGACTGACTTCAGCAATTTTTGTCAATACATTAAAAGCTCTTACTATATATAAATATGTAGGAAAAATGAAAAATTAGCAAAATCAGTATTTAGTACACTGCAATTTAAAATAAACTTTCAGTGTTTTATTTCTTTGTGAAAAAACTTTAGTTATGAATAAATATGCATTATTTATTCACATTTAACATATAATGGTCACTGAAAGTTGAACTGTGTTGTTGGTGTCCTGGAGTTATTTATTATACTGACTGAGTAACTGAAATTCATGTGTATTGGAATTGTGCAAAGAAAGGCAGGATTGCCTGTACTATCTTATTTACTTTCTGGGAATTTCATTTAGTAGGTAGTAGACTATAAACATTGTAATAAGTGAGAGGAAGGATATTATTTAATGCTTCTGTCTTTGGTTTTCATAGGAGGTTGGTATGCCAGCAGACTACGTAAACAAGCTTGCTAGAATGTTTCAGGACATAAAAGTATCTGAAGATTTGAATCAAGCTTTTAAGGAAATGCACAAAAATAATAAATTGGCTTTGCCAGGTATTATTTTATAATTTTGTATATGATACACACATATTTTTTAAACTTTTTTTTTACAAGCAATATCTTTGTTTTCCAGTAAGTTAAAAATAAACACTGGCAGTAATAGATACAAGGATATTGCAAAGATCACATTCCTTAGACATCCTGCAAAATAGAATCTATATTTGCTAATCCTTATTTTAGAAACAAGAGTACACTTTTTATTTAAAAAAATACGTTTTTATTGCTCTCAGAGTGGAAGGGAGAGGGAGGGAGAGATAGAAACATCAATGATGAGAGAGAATCATTGACTGGCTGCCTCCTGCACGCCCTCTACTGGGGATTAAGCCCACATCCCAAGCAGGTACCCTGACCAGGATACAAACTGTGACCTCCTGTTCATGGGTGAATGGTCAATTACTGAGCCACCCGGGCAGGTCAACACATATTCACTTTTAAAATCTTTAGTCCTGTTTATTTTCACCAAAATTTACCCTGTATGTAATGTACATGCTTATTTATTTTGAATTTTATCGATTGTCAAAATTTACTTTATATTTTTCTGATATTTTTGTCTATAGCTGATTCAGTAAATATAAAAATTTTGAATGCCGGTGCTTGGTCAAGAAGCTCTGAGAAAGTCTTTGTCTCACTTCCTACTGAACTGGAGGATTTGATACCTGAAGTAGAAGAATTCTATAAAAAAAATCATAGTGGTAGAAAATTACATTGGCATCATCTCATGTCAAATGGAATTGTAAGTAAATGTGTTAGTTAAGATATTGGTTTGACTGAAAGTGTCAGGACTCCAAATAAGAGTTGCTTAAACAAGATAGGTTTGCTTCTCACATATAAAAGTCTGAGCAGGAGTAGTAGATCTCTTCCATGAACTTGTTAGGGACATAGGCTTCTAATTATATCCCTTCCTTAAGATATTGCCTTTGTCCGCAGAATTCAATATGATCCTTACTATGTCTTTCAGCACAACAGAAAGATGAGGGTATATGTTCACTTAAGGGCAACTTCTAGAAGTTTCCCCATCATTTCCACTTGTATCTCATAGGCCAGAACTCAGTCATATAGCTACATTTTGTTCCAGGGGAAGTTGGGAGATAAGCCTTTATTCTGGGCAGTCATTGAGGACTGTTAAATATCTTAATGCCATGTAAGACAGTTAAGAATAGATATTGGAAGGCAGCTACCAGTGTTATCCATATGTAATCTCACGTAAGAGATACTATAGTAGATAGATGGTAATCATTATGAAAAGATTCTTAGTTTTAACTAATTGTATTATCTGTTATGTTATAGATAACATTTAAGAATGAAGTAGGTCAATATGATTTGGAGGTAACAACGTTTCAGCTGGCTGTGTTGTTTGCATGGAACCAAAGACCCAGAGAGAAAATCAGCTTTGAAAATCTAAAACTTGCAACTGAACTCCCTGATGCTGAGCTTAGAAGGACTTTATGGGTTTGTTTTTTATTTTTAAAATTTTATCCTGTCACATAGCAGAAAAATGTGTTGATTTGCTTATAATAAATTTATGAATTCATAACAATTTCAAATGAGTTTTAACCAAGAAAAATACATTTTAATGACGTATTTATGGAAAAAGGGAAATTGAAAACAAACAAGTAACTGAAATGGAGAAAGGCAGAAAAAGGAGAGAACGATTGCGTTGGTAGTTAAATAGTATCTGTGAGGAGTGTGACCAAAGATTTCTTTATGAGAATGTGTTCAAAGATCTATGACCAAAAATCTAAGCATTAGACAACTTTGGTTTTTTGTGGCCTTATAAAATGTACTCATTAGCCTCCTGCTCATAACTACATTTTATACCTACTCCATAGACATCTTAAAAGTTCCAAAATAAGTTACTACCCAGAGAGAAACAGCTGGTATATAACTGGCAAGTGGTATTTGCTGTGGATCATGTATGACCAGTCCCTCTAGTTTCTTGATGTATTGTAAAGGGAACATGCATTGCTTCCTCATAACCAACTCTTTTCTCCTCATTCTCTCTGTTCTCATTATGCATTTACATTATTATATTCACGGAGGTACCAAATAAAAGGTTGAATTATATAATCTTTTCTCACCTCTATTGGGCATGGTGGAGAATTGATCTTAGTGTTTAATACTGTTCATAGGTGCTAATTGTTTTCTCTTTATTTATAGTCTTTAGTAGCTTTCCCAAAGCTCAAACGGCAAGTTTTATTGTACGAACCTCAAGTCAACTCACCCAAAGACTTTACCGAAGGTACCCTCTTCTCAGTGAACCAGGAATTCAGTTTAATGTAAGGTTTATGTTGGTTGATCTAAAACAAAAATACCTTGTTTGAATTTTGGTATTTAAAACACACCCGTATACTCTTCATCATTCTAGAGCAGCGATTTTCAACCTTTTTCATCTCATGGCACACATGAACTACTAAAATTTTGCAGCATACCAAAAATATATTATTGCCAATCTGACAAAAAAAAAGTATAATTTTGATTTATTCACATCAGATAGCTATTGTTGTGTTGTAGTCATTTTTTATTTGACAGTCTAAGGCAGGGGTGGGCAAACTTTTTGACTCGAGGGCCACAATGGGTTCTTAAACTGGACCGGAGGGCCAGAACAAAAGCATGGATGGAGTGTTTGTGTGAACTAATATAAATTCAAAGTAAACATCATTACATAAAAGGGTACGGTCTTTTTCTTTTAGTTTTATTCATTTCAAACGGGCCGTACGTAGTTTGCCCATGGCTGGTCTAAAGGAAAAGAGGTCAGTGGCCCTGACTAAGTAGTCAGGTACAGTATTGTATGTTTTAAAAATTCTTTTGGCACACTAGTTGAAAAACCTGCTGCTCTAGAATATGCCAGTGAGCTGTTTATTAAACATTAATGAACTAGAGATGTTTATTTCTTTTTTTAATTTAAATTATTTATTGTTTAAAGTATTACGTATGCCTCCTTTTCCCCCACTGATCTCTCCCCGGCCGCTCCCACCCCCCAGCACATGTCCTCACCCCACTACTGTCTGTGTCCATGGAGATATTTATTTCTTTACATATTTTTCATGGATACATTTTTGTGTCTGACATTATACTGTATTGCTTTTCATCTTTAAAATAAATCATCTTTTTGCATTTTAAAGTAGCTTTATGCACACAAAGCATTTTTTTTTTTTGCTTAAGATTCAGTTAGGCTCTGGCTGGGTAATTCAGTTGGTTAGAGCATCGTCCCAATATGTCAACGTTGCAGGTTCCATCCCCGGTCAGGACACATACAAGAATCAGCCAATGAATGCATGCATAAATAAGTGGAACAACAAATACCTCTCTCTCTCTCTCTGTCTCCCCCTCTCCCTTCCACTCTCTCTAAAAATCAATGGAAAATATCCTCGGGTGAGGATTAGCAATACACACATCTTTCTCTCTCTCCTTTCCTCCTTCCCTACTTATCCCCTTCCCGCCTCTCTCCCTTCCTCTCTCTCTGAAGTCAGTCAATATATAAAAGTTTTTCAAAAGTTCCAGTTAGAAGATAATGCTGGCCCAGCCAGCATGGCTCAGTAGTTGAGCATATACCTATGAACCAGGAGGTCATGGTTTGATTCCTGGTCAGGACACGTGCCTGGATTGCAGGCTCAATCCCCAGTAGGGGGCATGCAGGAGGCAGCCCATCAATGATATATGTATATAAGATAATGCTGAATTACAACATATATATCTTTATCTAATCACATTCATGGCAATGTAAATTATATTCACTTTGTTATTACAAGGAGTGTAATCACCTATATTTTATTAATGGAGTCTTTATTGTGTTTGAGTGAAATCATAGAGTTTATTTTAGAAAAAGCTATGTATGTTGATTATTTGTTACTTATCCTTGAAATAATTCTGGATATTAATTTTTAAAATATATCTAACTCTTTTCTCTCAGACCTTGTTGTTATAATATGATGTTTACAAGGCCTCTCACTGTAAAATAATTTGATTCAATGTTTTTTTATAGAAAAAATGCAAAAGTACAGAAAAGGGGTAAAATCAACTTGATTGGACGCTTGCAGCTCACTACAGAAAGAATGAGAGAAGAAGAGAATGAAGGAATAGTTCAACTACGAATACTAAGAACCCAGGTTTGTAATATTAAGATAGAATGTCTAAATTTTTTTAAACTTTGGCATTTTGATGTTGTTTAATTCTTCAAACATTTTTTTTACATTTAAAAGCATGTAGGTATTCAACCTTTTTGTAAGGAAGACCTAATTTTTATTTTTTTCCTTTTTTGACCTAATTTTCATTTTACTGGAATTTAAAAATTGTACTAAGATGTTGTCTGTCTGCCCTGGCCAATGTTGCTTAGTAGTTAGAGCATTGGTTTAGGCACCAAAGGGTCTTGGGTTCGATTTAAGGGCATGTGCCTAGGTTGCAGGTTTAATCCCCAGTGTGTGCCTCGCTTTCTCTTTCTCTCTCTCTCTCTCTCTATTTCTTTTTTCCTCTTTCCTCTCTCCCCCTCTCTCCCTCCCCTCCACTCTGTCTAAAAGCAATGGGAAAATATCCTCAGGTAAGGATTAACAAAAAGAAAAGAAAGAAAAGAGATGTCTGTATGGTAGATTCTGTAGGTTGTGCCAACCCTTGGTTTTAGGTTCTGTCTTCATTTGACCACACCTGATTAAATGTATCTCAGCAAGAAATTACAATTCTGGGATTGATATATTTACATTTTTATTTGACTTCTAATTCCATTGAAATATGAAATTAGGGAACATTTTTAAAAACATTTTAAAGCTAGGGTTATGATACCTTCTGAACATAATAAAGAATACCTATAACAAGCTAATATACGACCATTATAACTTTAGAAATAGATCTATTAAAACCAACTATGCCACTTTTACAATTTTTACTTAGTATTATTTTAAACTACTGGCCAATGCATTGAGAAAAGGTTAAATTTTTTTTTTATTGATTAAGGTATTACATATGTGTCCTTATCCCACCCATTGCCCCCCCACCCCACCCCCACTCATGCCTTTACCCCCCTGGTGTCTGTGACCATGGGTTAGGCTTATATGCATGCATACAAGTCCTTTGGTTGATCTCTTCCCCTTACCCCCGCCCTCTCCTACCTTCCCTTTGAGGTTTGCGGAAGGTAAAATTTTTTGTTACTTAGAGATCATATAATATGATAAAGGAGTAAAGATGAATAAATAAAAATTGCATTTCTATTTATCAGTAAACAAATTTTAAAACAAGAGGTAAAGTAAAGAAGAAATCATAAAATTCATAAGTATTTCTTTAAAAAGTAGTGTTTAGGATCTTATATGAAGAGAATGGACCTTTACTGAGATTGAAAAGAAAATATGAATAAAGAGATCATGCTCTTTTTGTTACTAAAAGTTTTTAGTGGAGTGTAATTTACATATAACAGAATGTGCCTTCCAAAGTATAGTTTCCAGTGAGTTTTCATAAATGTGTATACCTGTATGACCATCATCTCAATTAAAATACAGAACATTTTTCCCAGCTGGTGTGGCTCAGTTGGATGAGCATCATTCCATAAACCAGGAGGTCTCATTTCAATTCCCAGTTGGGGCACAGGCCCAGGTTGCGGGCTCAATCCCAGTGAGGGACGTGTGGGAGGCAGCGGATCAATGTTTCTCACATATTGATGTTTCTATACCTTCTTCTTCCTTCCTCTCCCTTCCTCTCTCTGAAGTCAAAACATTTTTAAAAACAGCAACAAAAACCCCCAAGACATTTCTATCACTCCAGTAATTTCACCATATCGCCCAGCCAGCCGCTGTCCCCGCTTCCAACCCACTTGATTCCTATCACCATTGCTTAGTTTTGCCTGTTCTAGTTCTTCTTAAAAATTAAATCAGACAGTATATGTACTCTTTGTCTCTGGCTACCTTTGCTCAACATGAAATACCATATTCCTTAATGATAAGACTGAATAACTTAATGAGTCAGTTTTCCCATATTAGGATCAAGTTTACCAAATTTCATACAAAATTCAACCAAGAATATTTTTGGAATTTTATATATTGATTCTCAGTTTTATCAGAATAATATGCTTGAAAACTTAAAAAAATAATAGGGTGATGATGGTGAGCTTGCCTTGCCAAATATTAAAACTTATTAAAATATCTACAAAATGTCCTAGCCAGTTTGTTCAGTGGTTAGAGCATCAGCCCTTAGACTGATGGGTCCTAGGTTCGATTTTGGTCACGAGCATGCACCTCAGTTGCAGGCTTGATCCCTTGCCCCCATTGAGCCGCATGCAGGAAGCAATCAATCTCGATGTTTCTCTGTCTCTCCCTCTCCCTTCCACTCTCTAAAAATCAATGGAGCCTTAGCTGGTTTGGCTCAGTGGATAGAGCATCACCCTACAAACTGAAGGGTCCCGGGTTCGATTCTGGTCCAGGGCACATGCCCAGATTGCAGGGGGCATGCAGGAAGCAGCTGATCAATGATT